CCCCCCCCCCGGTCCCAAATCCTTAGTATGGTTTGGTGGCAACTCCGTGCTCGAACCGGGCAGAGGAGCAATTCTTCCTGACGATCGGGTGAGGATCGTGTCCTGGGATTTGGTTCTTTGTGAGAAACCCGATTCGTGTCTTTAGCACACCTTGAATGTCCGTAACTGCGGTACATCATTCGAAAAGGACAATGCCCCCAGCTCTGGTCGACGCCTACCTGATGCGAGGGCCACTAGGAAGACTATTTTCCACGTCAAAAATTTGAGTGGTGCTGATCGGAGAGGCTCAAAGGGCGATCTGCTTAGAGCGGACAACACAGCCGACAAGTCCCAGTTGGGCGGCTCCCTTGTATGGGGTCTCAGCGTCTGGAAAGCAGTAAATAGACTCCTAATAATAGGATACTCAACTGGTCTTGTTCCCGTACGTTTTGAATGGTGGGCGGACAAGGCCGACCTGTAGCCAACGATCGCTGCGTATGACAAACCCACTTCGTCAAACAGGTGGACGAAGGAGCCTGCTACCTGGCCAATAGAGGGATGGTATGGATCAATTTCCCTTCCGCTACACCAATCAGCTCGCAGTCTAGAAATGTAGGACGCGTTGGTGGAATCCCTGTTCGCCCTGGCCAAGACGTTGGCAGCTCGCTTAGATGAGGCTTTCGTATGTGCGGGTCTACTGAGAGCCTCTATGCGTGTAATTGATACCTGCTGGGCTCGTTGGTAGTGCGCCATCTGGTTGGGATGGCAGGTCCGGTGGTTGGGACGGCAGGTCCGGTAAGTCCGGAAGCACTGCTTGTGTTTCGACTAGCATTTCCGACAGAAGTGGAAATTAGTCCTTACTTGGCCAATTGGGTGCGATCATTGATAATATGCAGGTGTGCACCTGTCAAAGTTTTCTCCGGTGCCCGGTGAACTAGCGGGAACGGAGGAAAGGCTTACACAACTAAGTGGGTCCGCGGGGTTAGCAAAGCTACCCTGGCCCAGGCTCCTGGAGTCAGCAGGAGTGTTACGTACGTCGGGAGCTTGGTGTTCCAGGCACCAAAGGAGGATTTGCTCCGCTAGGACTGACAGCGATGGGGAATGCGTCCCCCCCTCCTTCTTGAAGGAGACCACCTCTGCGTTGCCTGTGCAGAGCAGGACTCTGTGGTCTTGAACTACAGGTAGAAAGCGTGGTAGAGCTAAGTACACTGCTCTCAGTTCGAGCCGGTTGATATGGTTGTCCTGAAACTAATGCGGGCTTGTTCGTCCAATAGATGCGCTCCCTGGGGGGGAGGCATCTGTTACAAGAGTCATACCTGCGGCGAGTGGGTCCAAGGGGGCCCCCCTGTCCGAGGTTGGCCAGTGACGACAACCAGGGCAGGGTTTCTTTCAATTGGTCGATTTACTAACGAGCCCAACTGGTGAAGTAAATCCTGTGTTAGCCTGACGCGTTTGGCTATTAACCCCTTGCCGGGGTTGTTGGTAACCAGTAGTCTGGGTAGAATAGAATAGAATAGATTTATTTCACCAGAAAAAAGTGACAATTGTACAGGGAACTTTATCTGAATAAATATTAAATATATATATTTTTTCTGGTAGTTCAAGAATGCCAAGTTGCAGGAAAAGTGGTGTGGTACTTGCTCGGAAATGAGAGAAAGAAATTAATCTGATAAACTTTTTTTGTAATTTAAAAATTGGATCAATATATGTGCTAAAAGTGTGTCCCCATATTTCAATACAATAAGCAATGTGTGGGAGAATCAACGAGTTGTAAAGTAATATCATAACGGATTTTGGTAAATAATGCCTCAAGTGTGAGATTATCCCAATTGTTTTATTTTTTTTGGGTCTCCAACAAAGTGTTGAGTCAAGTGTGACACCTAAATAAACAGCTGACGACACCATTCTAAATGACAAATCATCAATTGACAATACGCCCTCAATACTTGTTTTTCTTTGAGCTGTCTGAAAAATCATGAAATTTGTTTTGTCAATGTTTATAGTTGATTTCTTTGATTTACACCAGGTAGCAACTTTATTTAATTCAATATTGAGTGTGTGAAGGTTTACAGAACGGTCTTTTACGGAATAAAATAGACTGATGTCATCAGCAAATAGTCTGAATGAAAAAAGGGGGGATGATCTAGAAATGTCATTAATATAAACTAAAAAAAGAAGAGGGTACGGATTGAGATGTACCGACATCTGGTGAAGCAGCAGCACTACCTGTTTCATCACTCTGGTGAGCACGTAGGACGCTGTGCCTAACCCCAACGGGGGTTTTGGGTGGTGGGGGTTCGGTGGGATGGTGGGTTCAAATACTTGGCCCACCTGGGCAATTCGAAGGAGATGGCAACTCGCTGGGTGCATCAGTATGTGCATGTAGGCCCCGCTTAAGCCTTGTGGGGCTAGCCAGTCGATATGGTGGATGGAGAGAAGAACCCTGAATGGTGTCACCATGTGGAACCGATCGAGGAGCACGTACTGATTCAGTCTGCCTAAGTCCAGAACTGGACGCCCGCCACTTGTAGATTTGGTACTACGAACAAGTTTGGGTAGAAGCCTGGACTCAGTTCCGGCTGATGTACCATGTGTATGCCGCCTTTTCCCAGCAAACTGCTACTTCCTGTCTGATTGCTTCCGCCTTGTGGGAGTCCCCTGACAGTGCCCAACAGGGGAGACACTGACGGGGGAAATGGAGATTTCAGCGATATCCCATAACAGGATGTCACCACCTGGAAAGGTCCAGGGATCGGTCACCCGCTGTCTCCAAACTGGACTACACCGTCGCAATCACGACAGGGATATGTGGCCATGGGTTCGGC